ACCGTTTCACACGATGGCCGGAAGCAGCACCCACAAAAGGCACCACTGTTGTAACGGCTGCACGCAACTTCGTTGAGTGATGGATGGCAAGCTCTGACTTCCTAATTGATTGATCACTGGGTGGTGATCAATGTCATGCTTGTCTAGTCCTTATTAGTGCAGATCGAATGCTATCGATCATGTTGCAATGTGGCCACCAGTCTAGGTGACTGGACACTGCGGGTACTATGTATTGAGATTAAGATGGTGGTTGGAGATAGTCAACAGGAAACCCTGGACCGGGTTTCGTGCTACTTGGCACTCGTCAGCAAGGTGTACCTGTAATCTTGAGGCAACTGGTGCTCCCAGCTTCACAGTCACAGCATGACATTGATCACCACCCAGTGATCAATCAACTGTGATTACATCTCAGTCCTACAGGAGGTTAGTCACGGCTCGGATAGCTCAGTGGTAACGTCTGTAACTGTGAAGCTGGGTGACACGGGATCGAATCCGCCAGGGAGCACCAGTTCCCTCAAGATTACACGTACACCTTGCTGACGAGTGCCAAGTAGCACGAAACCCGGGTCCAGGGTTTCCTGTTGACTACCTCCAACCACCATCTAAAGCTTTGACTTCCCTCCAACTATTCCTTAATTTCATTCACAATAAGACGTCTCCCAGGAAGCGCGAAGAGACCTACAGAGTCTCTGAAAAGGCTAAATATATTCCAGCTGACCAGAACAGGACAGAACTTTCTAGAATATCAACCAGACCTGTTGTTATTGAACGATAATATAAATTCATATTCGTGCAAGTAGATATCCCTCGTTTTATGTGTTGAAGAAATCATACTATTGGCTGCAGTATGTCTTTACTCATATACTGGAACATGAAAGTTTGAGCTCGAAGTTTTATATTTTAAGTACACAATGTTTTGAACATTCAGTATGGACTTAAAGGGAATATAATTAATACCAAATTTAGAAAGTGAATAAACATTAGAGCTATGATGTTTAACATTATCACGATATTTTGGGCTAACTTCTAATCAAGCCTAAACTGTTAAATCAGCTTCCTCCTAGAATTGACATTCATAAATATGTATGTGTCCTCTATGTTAGATTTAGAGATAATAAAACAATGGCAGGTAGGAAAATGAAACGCGAATACCTAAAGAAGTGCCTCGAGTGGGATACTCAAAATCTTGTCTGCTAAAGGAACTTCGCCTTAGAACAATAGTAATAATATGAACCTGTCAGAACGTCGATTCATCACATACCACGACTGAATACATAAACTCGAGTTTGTGACGACCGCCAGTAGATTTTGCATCCAAACTACACATTTCTATTCTATTCATTCATTCTGATAATCCATACATAACCTGTGTTACAGATCATGAAATCATTCTCCTTAACAATTGAGTGGTTTGTGAATGATTGATCAATGTGAAGGATGAGATCAAAGGTTGAACAGATAGTGAAAGTGTGGAGAATGGTAAAGGTATTTGATTTCAGTTCAGATCTTCATGGTGCTAAATAAACCTGATTATCCCACATGTTGTTCCCTGCTTTTTTCTTCTTCACTACAATATTAGACTTATCAATTATGTTTTTTACCCGCTTGTTTACAGAAAATATATTTCAAATATTTTGCACATTTATTCACTAATATTTTCAAGAAAAATTGCAAACATACCTAAAAACACTTAAAAGATATATGTAGGCCCTATTGTTTCACGCACACAATAACTCATAATACGCTTCAATACGTTACTAACTGTAGAATTTGTATGAATTCTTCTCCCAGTCTATCATTAGCGTCCGCTTTATTGGTCTATCATTGATATCTCGTTATGTCGAATGTCCTTTGAGTAAAACGTGTTCGATGTAATCGTGAAACACAATATTCAAACGAATAAATAAACATAATATTGATTTATACATTGAAACAATAGTAAACAAATTCAGATTTATTTGGAGCCAAAACAGAAGAATAAAATTGATCCAAATATTTTGGAAAACAGTAAACAACTTCACACATATGTGTAAGTCATTATCTCATAACTTTCTTTCATATAAAACCGCCGACTGAAATAAATTTTATCAGAACACTCGTAGAGTATGTAAGGTTATCCATTCACAGAATAGTGAATATTTCTTGGTCCATTTATTAAGTGATGTTGTGTTAACTCAATACTGTGTGAGAGTGTAGATATTTCAGTGCAATAGCACTGTGGTATACCATTGACATTCTTCAAGTTTTTAAAATTATTAGCAGATAAAGAAATACCGCTTCTCCTCGGTTCGCTGAAGCGATTGCGACAAAAACTCAAAACTGATCTATGTATTCAAAAATATGCAGTAATAAACCTTGTGCTACCCTGGTAATTCAATTTTTGGTCGTTAGTTTTATTTTGTTAATGTTTAGTTTGTTATATTTCGCTTTCATTATCGAATTCTTATTTTCTGTACATTTAAACCACCACCCTTCACTCATACATTTCCACTCACTCAATTCTCCTAAATTATGCGAACTCATCAAATCTTGTTTATTTATTACGCAACCCATCTTACCAGCTTTCCAATTCTAGGAATATTGAGCAAACCCTTCATTACCTCTAAAATCATCAGACAACTCATCTTATCTGTCTCTGAACTTCACTCAGTTATTACATCATCCACCCCTCACATTTCTTGATTCTAACACTGAGTGACCTCCGACCTGTTCTTGCACACACATATATATAGCTATTATTGATAACCTTTGTTATTCCAATTCTTCACATTCACTTATGTCAATTGTTTCACACTATATCTTACATCAATGTGAAATTTTAATACATATTTGGTTTTAATCGGCTGATGAGAAACCACGAAATATAACGAATTCATATTATTCTGCAACCATGTTCGTTCTGGGATTATTTAAATTCATGAGGGGAACTAATTGTATGAAATTATTGATAACTGTCGACCTCCAGAAACTTCTGGAGGTATACTAAATTTGGTAATTGAGCAAGTAAACATCCTAACAGAGTTCGACACATAACCCGTCAATATTCTAAGCTTTTGTGACGTATGTTAATTGGAAAAATGTTCTTATTCTCTTACTGGTTCCTGAAAGACTGATGGATAAGTTCTCGTAAAGATCTCAACAACTACCATTAAAATTTTATTTATCATGTAATATTTCACATATTACTGTCTGTTCTCATTACAATGAGAAATAAAAAGTAATTATTATCCAAACTAATTAATTATGATTTAAATGGAGTTTTGTTCCCTGAGCTGGATGGTTTGGTCATGGAGCCTTCAGCGTTATTCTGAACGGCACCATCAGCACAAACTCCACGACCAAACCATCCAGCTCAGAGAACAATACTCCATCAAAATCTTCCATCTGAGCTACAAATCTTCTCCACCATCTCATAATTATGATTTGAATATTTTCTCAAAATGATATTATTCTTTTTAATTAACGGTGTACACTAAAAGAACATACCTGATCTGAATAAAATTATTGTCGTGTAACGTATTTTATATATTACACACATACTCGTATTCAATGAGAAACAACATAAAGTGGTATGAAATACTGGAGATGGCAACAGTAAGAAAAGAATTACTAGTTTCAATTCCCATAGTTAGAGAACAAAACTGAACTGGTTTGAGGATAAACAGGATAGACTAATGGGATTATAAGAAATTGTTGTTCAGATGTACTAAATTGTCGGACGGTGATAGCTTCTACAAACCTAGTAATATCCTAATTGGCAATTCCTATTATAAAGATTTTTTCAAGTTATTTCTAAGGTCAATCATATGACCTGATATAACTAGAAACAAATAAACAATAGTAACAATATAGAATCCTCATAATAACGACAATAATAATATTCATTGCTATTATTATTATTATTATTATTATTATTATTATTATTCAGGATGCAATAGATTAATATTCATTGCATGTAACTGGATCAATTAAATTTGTAGTAGTATGAGAGTATTGTATTAATACCCGTATCATTGTGTTAGTGGTGTGAGACAGTAAAAGATCATAATTTATTGATGAAAAAGTCCTATACTTAATTTATCCTTAGCTTGTCAATCGGATTCATAGAGAAGCAATGATAATGACTACAAGTTATTTATTTAATTACTTGAGTATGCCTACACTGCAAATACTAATGCACTGTCATATGCAAGCAAACGATTTGATGTAACTTGTTTATCAAGTGTAGATTGGTAAACGTTATTTCTGCATCGCCTATTACTTATACGGCGAAAATGAGGAACCAATGCAATTTCTACGACACCAAATAACAACACACAACACTGATACAAGTGGAGATTTATTCACCCCAAAATCACAACGATAATTCTAGTCGAAAATACACTCATTTATATAATCATTTGTACACCCATCTGATTAGTAATTAAAGAAAAGTCACATGTATGGAAACTATTCAGAATCATAAGACATCACATGTTGCATATCATGCTGAACATATGTTACATGCAAACGAAGAATAAATGAATGGTGACTACTGAGAATTATATATGAGTTATCATTACATATATTCTTATTGCACGATTGTTAAGTAACTAGGGTATAGATATATAATTAAATACTTCAAAAGATGGTTAAGTAATTAATTGAAATATTGTTTGAAAGTACATACCGAAAACTAAACACATAGACAACAGAAGTAAATGATGTACAAATCGCTATGATGAATAGCGAATAGAAATTCTTTTATTCGATCCATCAATGATACTAAGTTATCTACATATGAATGTAATTTTCTGTGCATTTGTGAATATTATACAGATTTGACTGTGTATATAACAATGTTGAACTTGAGAATACATCAGTGTTTTCTTTCTTGATTACCTCCATACTTAAATGAAAGTACCATTCAATATAAAACTAGTTTTGTCTCACAGTGTAAAGAACTAGGTTATACAATATTTAAGGGTAAGAAAAACAGGCAATTGAATCTTAAAAAAAACTTATTTTAATGTAATTAAAAAATGTGTGTAGTGTTGCTTCTCAGAATAGGCTGAAACTTTATATTTTACAGAATTCAACCCATCAATGAACATACGACTGGCAGCATTTTTTAATGAATCAAGTACTAAAAGTCTATTCGCTCGAACCTGTTTAGTGTGAGGTTGAGCCAGATATCTGCCTATTGACTTTTCAATGTGTTTATACATAATTTTTGATGCTTTCAGTCGCCTCTCCAAATCATCGTCCTCTCCACCCCAACCCCAATAAATATTCGAATAACCATTAACTTGTATAAAGTGTGAAGTCGATATTTTCAAAACACCACCGATCAATGATTGGTAAGGTAAAAAATAATTCCATGAACTCACTCCAACACTCAAATGAACCACACTCTCCATCATCTCTTCATCACAACCATGTGGTATTCTATCATCCAATGGTATTAAGTCGGCATCATGAAATATAACACAGTCGAAATCGAAACGTTTACGTGCTTCAATAAAACCAATGTTCATCAACTGAGCTTTGTTCAAAATACCAGTACCCTGTTGTTCAATAACAAATATTTGGTAACACAAATGTTGTCTCTGGAGAACTGGAATCAGAGCGGACAATGTATTATTCAGTTGTTTCCATCTATCTCTACAAACAATGATGATTGCTACACCGGATTGTGGAACATTGTTGCAATTCGTCGTCTCCTCCTTAAACATCCAACCGCCACCAAGATCATGTGAATAAAATGTGTCGTTGATTGGATTCACCTCTTCATTGAATTCACCATTGAATGGCATTTTCCCAATTGGTTTCAATGCACTCACATTACTCGATGGAATACTGTCAATATTCTTACAAATAGTACGACATGTGCGTTTGCAGTTAATATGTGCCATATTGGGTATAATAATTGCTTCTTCAGAGTGATTTCGTAGGGTAACATATTTGACAGTTGTACGCATGAAATATATTTGTAATATGAAAATTATACAAAGTGTTAATCCGAATGCTTTCAGAATTGCATAGTAGATTCTGAACGATGATTTCTTCTTGATAAACATTTGATTATACAATCCTTGTGTTTATAAAACACAATGGTAACAACGGTAACAATAACAAAAATAAACGTTGAAGAATCGGGTGCTTATTATCTAGTTAACATTTTGATTGAGACACTGAACCAATTGATTTTGAGTATTATATTGACCAATTGAATTTTGACTTTTGTTTATAATGGTTAATTAAAGTTCAAGATTATTTCTCTATCACAGAATAACATTGCAGTGAAGACCAATAAAAGTTTGAATTCAGTAAATTGTCATTTTAACATAGATCTATACTGTCGTCTGTTCTTAACTGCCACTTCTCAACTCATTCCCCAGGTGCTTGGGTGTGAGCCACCATGTAAGCGCGATGTCCAACCATAATCCTCAATCGTTTAAACAAAGTATTTAAAGAGGACTTTGAACCTGCGGTTGAGTAGCTGGAAGTCGGACGCTACGATCACTAAAATATCACTCTACAAGGGATTCAAACTCCATACTTATAACCTATTTATTATGAGATTAACCGAAGTTGTTTCTTTGAATGGGTCTGACAGAAGCTTTTGTTGGCTCAACCATTAGATCATTTCGTCGTGGGTTGTAGCGCTCTTTTGCCATTTCCAGATTATCATAGAGCCTCAGTGAATAATGGCATTTTATGCTTGCGATCAACATGGAGGGGTAGAAGTTTTTCTATGATGAGAAAGTATCAACTCCGCTTTCATCTTGTGATTGTACAGCTATCATGTTCATAACCGTTATGTGAGAGACGGAAATCAAGTTAATCAGCACCAAATATTGAAACCAGTACAAACAAACAAAATAGGTTCCTACAGGTCAAAAGTTGTAACACGTGAAGTCTTATCAAAAAGATTATAACATGATTTTGAGGTATCGTGGAAGGTATTTAACCTTCTGAGAAGCGCTCCAGTTATTCGCTCCTTTCAATTCATCTCATATTGTATTTCGAAGTATCTTCATTTTTTGTGAATTAGTTCTTGCTAGAAATATGTTGATTGTCCTCATGATCCAAAGATATTTTCAGATGTTTGTGTTAAATAATATGCAATAAATTATTCATGTAAAGTACAATATAATTAAGGTTCCTTTTGAACATACCTCTTTTGACTGATGAAATACTTAATAGATGCCTACTAATCAGCATAGTAAAATGATATCACTATGTAGTCTAGCTCAGATCCTATCAGAGAAGCCACTGAGATCTACCTGTGAATTTGAAAGTGATTTCTCTGGTTAGCTTGTCTATAATGGTTATTTTCTATGGGGTGATGTTGCGAACCCTATCCCCAACTTTTCTTCTTTATCCGGGCTTCAGGTCGGTAGTAAGCCTAAACGGGCTACAAGCGTAGTTACTCAATATCTGTTGACTGAATGTCATCAACAACAACCTACTGTGGCGGAGGACAAACCAAATTCCGGATGAGGAGGAAATGAGAAAAAGACGCTGAAGTTGGGTAGAATATACACTGCAGAAACTTGAAATTTTGAAGGCTAATGGATAAGAGGTGGTCCGGTGGACACATTGTGCCGGGAATCGCAGTCAGACATCGAAGGAATGAATAGCACTTGGAAACAACTGCAAAGGAAAATGCAGGAGAGAAATGGTTGGCGAACCTCTGTCAGCGACCCACGCTCCAGAAGGGGTAACAGGCGTGAGTAAGTAACTGACGAATTTGAAATGATCGAACGAAAGGTCGTTCAAGTCAAGAATCTTAACTGTCCTACTCACCACTCTCTAAATTACAGTTCCTGTTGTTGGTCACTAGTCAGTTATTCGGTTGAACGTTACCTATGATGATGTTCCATTCACTAAGTGAGTTTTGTGTTTGCGATGTTTAAAGAGTTTAGCTGAAGTTCTTGAATCTTCTTCATCACGATATTGGAAAACGAAATCGCTGGTGCGTTTTTCTACCTCTTTGATATTACTTGGATTCACAGATGTGATAGAAGTCTGGATAATTCAGACGAAATTTTCTGTTAAACTATGAGACTAAGAGTTTCGTGGATCTGTGAATTGATGACGGCATCCAATTTAAGTAAGCCAGCTGTTAAACTTTTCCTGTGAAATCTGTATGTGGTTTCATTTCAGGCACTTAATGCTCACTAGTGAAATCATAAGCACCTTAATCTAAATTCGCTTCTGGACCATGGCGGTTGATTGACAATTAAATTTTAGAGGCTGGCACTATACCAAGCCCATATAGGTTATTCTAACCTCTGAACAAACCAATCTATTCATTGTCTTCAAGTCACCATTTTATCTTGTCACTTATACGCTTATCACGCCTGACGTTTTTTATACGATTGTATGTGTGTTAATTATTTATCTTATTCATTGTGTTTGTATGAACAACGAGACACGCTCCAAACTCTAATGTAAATCCAGGCATCATTCATAAGTCCCAAGGACTAACTCAAAAAAGGGAAAATATAGCCAAATAGAAAATGAAGCGTTCGCTTTGTTATCTCCCGTCCGTCGTTCTCGTAAGCTTGTGCATGGCCGAAATTTTACGCTGTAAACATAACACAGCCCTTAGCTTGGTTTTTCACCCTAAGTCTTGGGTACTGGCACACACTACGAACCTGATACAGAGATGTGCTCTAATGTGACTACGATATGATTTCGAAATACGATACCATCAAACAGAATGATTTTGACAGACGGATACGTTGCTCTGAATGGTAAGTGAGCACTTGACAGAAGCCGAATAATCAATAACCCTTACGCCATCTACGAAGAATCGTGCATCAAATCACTTGTCCAGCACCATAGTTTGAGATAACGGATCGAGGCATTTCAGAAAATCCTGCCACCGTCATACGATGGGTCACCAGATCATCCACAATGGAATGAACCTTTAGGTAAATGCTTTTTAAACATACGGGTAAGAGAACGGAATAAATACTACGAATTCTCTTTTATTTAAATCGTGCCATCCTTAATGACGCAGCCCCCAATAAACTAATACCACTGTAATCCATAGTAAATCGAATAAAATATTACTCACTCTTTCATGCTGCTGCAGAAATACTTTGAAATTCAAGAAAATCCCCTAGAATTCCAAGTCAGTACACCAGTATTGGCTCGTGACTGCCGGATCACTATGACTTTACGGTTGACTTATATATATATGCAAGAAGAGTATTGTATGGAAGAACCAGTTGATCACATATTACAATTAACCACATAAGAGAAATACTGCTAACCCAGCTCAAACCTTAAAATACCATCGCATATCTTTAGCGTGACAAACCCAGAAAGATCAACATCTCAAGCGCCTGAGCACGATATACGAACACGAAGATGCGAAAAACTCTACCCAGTATATTTTCAATAACATTTGAACCATAGTAACCACGTTTTTGTTAGAATTGTGTAATTACTTTGATTTATCAAAACAAGAGCCCTACATAAGCATCAATAAGTAGAATTACCGCCGAAATAATTGATGGTTGGTTTATTGTGATGACTTCTACATATTTGGCTGAAAATAAACAACATAAAATTGAAACCCAATAAAGCACAAGTTACCAGGTTTTTTCTAGAAATAGATTAGCTCACTTAAATTAGAAATAATAAATATGGTACTGAATTAAAATCGATATATTTGTCAGTTTAACGGGAAGATTTTGAAGAATGACTTGAATATTATATACTGTTTAATCAGTTGCTTATTTTGATAAGAAGAATTCACTTGAAATCCATAACTATTGACTATGAAGTTTATATTTCATGTACTACTGGTAAGTGTAACTAGTCATTGGAATTCTATGAAACTTTGATGAAGTTTTGTTCTCTGAGCTGGATGGTTTGGTCATGGAGCTTTCATCGTTCTTCTGAATGACATCATCAGCACAAACTTCAGATAGAAGTGAAGTGTTCGATTTTCTCCATATGTGTTTCACAGCTTGTTCTGTGCACCTCATTCGATTGGGAAAATGTAGAAATCTTAGACAGAGGAAACTCCAAAAACACCAGAGAATTTCTAGAAGCCTGGCCCTCAGGTCAATCAGCAATCAACAAACATATTGAAATCAATCCAATTTATCAACCAATCAGGAAAATCATGCATATATATAAGAACAAAAATCAAAACAATGGGAGACACAACCAAAACAAAGAAGTGAACAATGATAAATTTAAGGTCAACAAGAACCAATCAACATCGAGGTGCACAGAACAAGCTGTGAAACACATATGGAGAAAATCGAACACTTCACTTCTATCTGAAGTTTGTGCTGATGATGTCATTCAGAAGAACGATGAAAGCTCCACGACCAAACCATCCAGCTCAGAGAACAAAACTCCATCAAAATCATCCACCTGAGCTACAAATCTTCTCCACCATCTCAAATTCTATGAAACATTTGCTCTGTATTTCAATTGCAATCCCTAGAATAACTCATTTCTGGTTAGTGTCATACTTCGTCATAAGAGACAGAGTGGTTGTCGTGACAAGAGTAGGTACTGATATTTCATATAACTATTGACAGATGTTCGGCATCCATATGGGAACAAATCAACAGAGATAATATAGTATCTGAAATAATAGTAAAAATCTAATTAGGAATATTTCATGGACCTCATTGTTATTGTGTAGCGCATGTCTCGGTGCTCCTTTTTACCAATGTTTATGTGTTCGAATACATAATAAATACAGATGGCAAAACTTATGAGGAATGGTGAGACTGGGAAACCCTTGCCAACCTCACTGCTTGAATGGAACAGTGGAGAGAGGTGATTGTATGTCCTTACTCTGCCTGAGGTGTATGTATATAGGGCTTCTAAGATGTTAATAAACTTCTCAGAAACACCCTTCTTCAATAGACAATCCCACAAAACAGTCCTGTGCATCGAATCGAAGGCAGCCCTAACGTTAAGAAACACTACAATTATTGACTTGGTATTGTTTATTTGAATCTTCCTATTGGTGTTTAAGACTGAGAGTGATCAGTCTCTTATTGGCCTATGTGCATGCAGTGTGGATTGCCTCGAT